AGAGTAGCGGTCACAGATCTGGTGAGAAAGATACATTTCTCTTTGTGAAGAGGAGAAAATTGGTCTCCCATACAGTATAATGTTTCAATTAGGGATCGCTGAGCTTTGCTTGCTATAATACTACTGTCTGAAATCACTGTTTCAAAAATCGACCTAAGAGAAGCAATTCCTATCAGCATGGAGTTGCAAAGGCACAGAAACCATCCTCTGGTGCCACTGTTGAGAGTTGCTGCTTGCACTGCACCCTAAACTAACTGTAAGGGCGTAATACTTCCTTTGGAAGAAACTAGGACATTTTAGACTAAAATCGATTTGTGTACTGCTTCACACATTAACCTCTTGTTGATCCACTGTTGTTAATTACAGTTTACCATTTCTTGCACATACCTTAGGAGTGGGTGTGCCTTGTGGGAGGGCTGCTACTCAGCCATTCAATTGGGAGTCCCAGGTTTCTTGGCTTGGGGCTTCAGCAAAAATTTTATATAAATAGAATATCCCCTAGACTCTGCCCCCAGCCAAGTGCTGAGCCAAGGGTTACACACACATCTGCATGTAACATATTGTTTGACCAAACTTTCCTTCTGTCTTGTCAGTACACCAGACGATGGGAAACAACAAGTGATTGCTCTATATTCCCTAAGGTACAAAATGCTCTTTCAGTGGCTTCCAGAAGGTGGTGGGAAACACTTGCCTACCCACCCACTTCAGTTGAAAATGAATGGCAAACTGCATTTTTATAATGAAACAAGCAGTGTTTAGAAACATACATGATCACATGGAGGCATCAAGAGAAATTGGCCAGCGGTAGAGAACATCTCTTCTCACATGCAAGTGCCTGAATATTATACAGAAATTCTTTCAGAACCACTCCTCATAGTCTTATCACCTTCATATTAGATGGGTGCTAACTGGAGAGAAGAGCTTTACAGTTGTGGTGTTGTGTCCACAAGTAGAATTGTCCTCCTCAAGAAGGTTCACTTAGCACCAAACATGATGCTCTTTTGCACCTGGTAAAATACATTCCGGGACGTGGGTGGCGCTGTGGGTAAAAGCCTCAGCGCCTAGGGCTTGCCGATCGAAAGGTCGGCAGTTCGAATCCCCGCGGCGGGGTCCGCTCCCTCTGCTCGGTCCCAGCGCCTGCCAACCTAGCAGTTCGAAAGCACCCCCGGGTGCAAGTACATAAATAGGGACCGCTTACTAGCGGGAAGGTAAACGGTGTTTCCGTGTACAGCTCTGGCTTGCCAGAGCAGTGATGTCACGCTGGCCACGTGACCCGGAAGTGTCTCCGGACAGCGCTGGCCCCCGGCCTCTTGAGTGAGATGGGCGCACAACCCCAGAGTCTGTCAAGACTGGCGTGTACGGGCAGGGGTACCTTTACCTTTAAAATACATTCCAATATGCCTAGGCCTTCAGGTATGTCACTTAAGATGGGGTTAACAGACTGATTTTATACTGTTATGTTTTTCATTTTTGTACTAACTTAATTTTATGTGTTGTTTTTCTTTAACAGTATTTTACTTGGAATTGCTAGCCACCCTGACAATTTCATGAACTGAAGGGCAGCATACAAATCATTTAAAGAAATAAATGCTTGTGTTGCTTCTGTCTTGCCCACAGTGGAAAGTTACACCAACTGCAAGGGACAGAATATATATATATATTCCAATGTGTCTCCGGTAAGTACCCCATCCATTCATCTATATATGACATGGATAGCTCAGTTGGTTACAGCATGGTACCCAGGTCCCTGTATTCGATCCCTGTATAGAACAGCTGCATGTTCCTACATTGCAGGGGGTTGAACTAGATGGTCCTCAGTATCCCTTCCATCCCTACAAAACTGGAGTAACAATTGCTGGGATAATTTTAAATAGTCAACTTTCATATCACCTACACCCTATGCAGCTTTGTATGTTGGTCAGTCATCCTTTTTTTTTTAACAAAAGATATACAAGAACTACAACAAAAACTGTTTTAAATTTGTAAATATTTTATATACTGCAAGTACTGTGATTCTACAAACTGCAGACTATAACCAAGTCTTATATTTTATAATTGTATTAATAAAAATGCCGGAAAATTTTCAAGTCACAGTTCTGACAGCAACATATCTTTGTTTCCCTCTCTAAAGCAATTAAGCTACCCAACATTCCTGCAATTTTATACTAAACTTACTTGGATCCATGGAACCTCACTTGTACTTGCAGAAATCCACAAAAAACCATCCTGCCAGGAATCTCTCCTTAAAATTAAAAGGACTAGATCCAAGGCTATTTGCAGGTGGTCTTATTTGACTATGGCAGTTTTAAAAACCAGGGAGAAAAGAGCTTCCTGTTTATTTTTTTAAAAGTGAAAGATACAGTGGAAACATCAAAACAAATTTATGTGGTTACCAATTTTCACACAAACAGAATCCCAATGCTTTTTCATTTAACTGACAGAAATATCACCCCTTGGGATTTTAGATATTAAGTATCTCATTGTTTTGGAAACACTCAATTCGTCTAAAGAACCACTGAATTGTTTTCAAGGCCTTATAGTTATTTTCTTCCAACAGCAGTCATTCTGTCAAACCACTTTTGAAACAGACTTTTAGAAACACTTGGTGATGGCAGGTGACTAACCAAACCAAATTAATTGCTAAATGTAAACCAGAAAACTACATTTTAAGCCTTCCACAACATAGCACATTCCTGGCATTTTAGACTACAACTCCCATCAGTCCCGGCCAGCAGACTGAGGTTAATGGGAGCTGTAGTCCAAATATCTGAAAGGCACATACATTAAGGAAGGCTGGAATATCAAAGCATCTCTCCAAGTAGGAAAATGGCATCCAGGGCCTCCCACCTTCCTCCACCACTGGCTGAAGCAAGCAATGCCAGAGTTTTACTTCTTAGAATCATGAGAATGGGTTTGTGGATCAGAAGTACAGAATGCCTCCATTCCAATGCAGAAAATATTTCTACTCAGTTAGACTACTATTCTACCCTGTCTGCTTCATTCACCCACCTGTCTCAACTGTGGCAAGGAGGAAAACCCAAACCCACACACCCCCATTGGGTCACTCTGAAGCTGGAATAAGAATTTTTATCCTTTCTTAAATTACACAGTTGAATAATGAGTAGTCTCATCCCTCACACACCCTCTCACACTTAATTCCATTATATGAGTATGTGTAGCTGTAACGCTGCAATAAAAACACAGTCCTCAGAGTGCAATTAGAAGAGTTGAAAGGAAAAGCAGTTAAAAATACTATGTGCTCCTTCTCCCTTTTAGTACATCAGCATTAAATACCTCTGCTACGACATAAACACCTGATGTCCTCCCTCCTCTCCCCAATTATTTAGCATTGTTGGAAGAATCCCAAGCTGACCCCACCCCAGCATCAAGGAGGCCAGCTAGCAACAGACGACATCACCCCCATCCATTGAGCAACAGAGATGGGCCCATCGATTCACTCTGCTTGCAGCCTTCCAATAGGCTGTAGTCATACTATCCAAGGGTAATCGCTCCCAAGCTTCACCCGCCCACGAACTTCATCTGCATCTATAGAAAGCATCGCACATGCTGCTGCCAGGAAATACAGGGCAAAAAAGGGAAACACTGAATCAACACAGGAACCTTATTCTTTGTGAGGGAGGGGGGAGGGGGGCAATACAAACATCCGGGTGTCAAAAGGCTGTGTGTGATTCTATTTCATTTAACACACCATGGTAAGATTTTTGTCGAATAATTGGCGATGGGGGGGGGGTGAGAGGTAAAGCTCCCTTGGCGTCACTGCATCCGCCCGTTTGATGTAAAGCTCATACCGATCTAAAGCACGCTCCTGTTGGGGAGATGACAGCTTTGCTCAGTGCATTTGTGGAGGGGAAGGTGGGGGACGACGACCCACTCTCCTCCTCTTCCAAGCGATCGAGCAAACCACTCCAAAGCCTCACCTTTCCTATGCTACTACACATACCAAGCAGCTGTCCCACCTCGCCATCGCGGGCGCCGATCCCCCCCCCCTACACACACCCCGACCCCCTTCCTGCACCACCACACACGCATTGTGGGGCGGGGGTCACGCCCTTCCCTACCAGCTCCCCATCCGTTCCCCTGTCACTCCCTCAACCTCTCGAGACTGACCCCTCCGCCCCATGGCTCCCCCCCCCGTGCCTCCTGTCACACACACACACCATATGTGTGCATTTATAAACATACACATTTACACACACCCTTTTCATTCCTCCTCCTCCTCCTCGCCCGCCCTTCCCCACAGCACTGCAGCAGCCTCACGCCCCGAGTCCCTCACAAGCCCACTCCCTCCCCACCGCTGCCACCATCACAGGAGGCGACACAAAAAGCGCCTTAGCGACAGCGGGCGACGCCACAGGCCCATGGCCGCCGCCGCCCCACACGCGCAACCCTCCGCACGCCCCGGCGGAGGGGCGGCTCGTGTCCTCCGCGGGCCCCGCGCGCATAAAGGGCCCCGGCCCCTCCCCCCTCCCGAAGGAGAAGGGCGGCAGCCAGGCAGCAGGAGGGAGCAGGCTGCCGGCGCTCCCTCCCTCCCTCCTTTCCCATTGCATCCATCCCTCCATCCATCCCTTCCCTTCCCTCCTCCCGGCTCACCATCGCTGCGCTTGATCTCCACATAGATCCCTATCTGGATCTTGCCGAAGTTGGCCGTTGCCATCGCGTCATAGAGTGACGGTAGCGGGGGGGGGAGGGGAAGGGAGAGAGAAGAAGAGACTGTTCGGGGCCCCGCCGGGCGCGAGAGAGAAGGAGAAGGGGCGCCCGCGACGGCAGCGGCAGTTTCTACGGGGAAGGGGGAGGGGGGGAAAGGGAGGTGGTGGAGGAGGAGGAGAAAAAGGCGCCGGCCGGATACAACAGTCGCCGGGAGCCGCTGCGGCTGCGCACACAATGGAGGCGTCACGGCAGGACCGGCTTGAAGGGGCGGGAGGAGGCGGGGCGGACGCTGGAGTAGCGGCGGAGGCGGCGAGTTGCCCGAGTTTGGCGTGAGGAGACGTCGGGGGCCGCCGCCGCCGCTCGGCGCTCGTTTCGTTCTCGTCTGGGGCGCCCCAGAGGCTCCCCGGCTCTGCCGCCCGCTCCTCTTTCGCTCCCTCACAGGAGCCACGCTGGGCGACCTAACATTTCAGACGTGCACAGCTGCTGCCTTCGCCCTTTCCAAGCCCGCCCTACTCCGCCCAACTTCCGTGTGGTGTTAGGTACCGACTACTACTAGCACGACTGGACCTAATGATCAGGGGTCCCTTGACCTTTTACTACGAGGAGGGGGTGCGCGGTTTGCCCGAGGCGGGCGAGTGAATCTCTTGAACCGCGAGGTGAAATTTGAACTCAGGTTTAACGCTCAGCTCCTTGCGCAGGATACTGCCTTGAGTCTAAAAAGGGGCACAAAAGTGCCCTTTGAGTTATAAGGTGAGTAGGAAAGAAAGCATGCAGGGTCTGACATTGCAAGCCTCAAAGTTATGGTAGTTTATAAAACTGACACCTGCCAAGCCATATATATACTTGGCATATCAGCTGCCTGCCCCTGAGGCAAGCGTATCGGCAAGGCAGCTACGGCAATGGCTTGCCTCTCCAAAAGGGTACGGGAGAATGCAATGCAAAGGTCCAATACCAAGATGAAGGTCTACCAGGCTTGTGTGTTGAGCATGCTCTTTTTGGAAGTGAGTCATGGGCAACTTAAGATCATCAGGAACATGACCTCAACACCTTCCACATGTGCCACATCAGGAAGGTTTTGGGCATCACATGGCAGGACAGAGTTTCAAGCAGAAATGCACTCTCCCAAGCCCATATTCACAGCATGTTCGTACTCCTTTCTCAGCAACGTCTATGCTGGCTTGGTCATGTCCACAGAATGGAAGATGGCAAGATCTCCAGGGAGCTGGCTTCAAGCACCAGCCCAAATGGCAGACCAACTCTGGTTAAGAGCTCTGCAAATGTAACATGAAGGTTGGCAATGTGGAAATCCCTTGTAGATAAATGCAGCACTTGGAGACAGTCAGGTCATGTAATCACAGCAGTGACCAGAGCAGAAATGCCTGCTGGGAGCAGCACAGAAAGAAGAAACACCATGGTACACCTCCATCAGCGCAACTGGACGCCTTCATCTGCCCCAACTGCAATAAAACATGACTCTCTTGTATCTGTCTCTAGCCACAGCAGGTGCTGTAACTCTCCAGCGGTTTGACTTTACCCTTCCATTGTCTCCCAACACAGATGGATGACAACCAAAATAAGGTTTATGGATGGGCCAGATTCAAAATTGATCCGATAATAATTTATACAGGTACAGAAAGTTAAATAGTGCTTAAAATGGACACCTTGACCCTTTTTACTCCCAGTTTTGATACAGGCATCTCATACATCTCTTTCCCATTTTGATAAACTGCTGGTGTACAGTATTTTATTCAGGCTTGCCGAAGAAGGCATGCTTTCATTAGTTTGTGGAAGTTCTGGGCAGTGGTTCAAAAATTTAAGATTTTCCTGCCCTATTGAAGCCTATGCTGGCAACTCCCAGCAAAAACTATGGTGCACGTGTAGTTTAAATTTTGAATTGAGAATTTTGCCACTTCTATGACATTTGCAGAAAGAACAACCTAAGGATTCTATGTGCAGTGCCTGTTTCTTTTGTTATAGAGCATGGCATTATGGTGTAAAGATTAGAACAGGGATTGCCAATGTTTTTGGGCCCTGATGCACATTTAGAAACCCAGAAAACTCATGGGCACTACCTGCAATCACATACACACAGTTCAACTTTTTTTCAACTTTCAAAACTGAAATGCCATGCATAAAAAAATTATTGTTAGGCCCAACTTTGTGCAGGTTCATGCTATAACACTGTGAAATGCACTTGAATCTGCTGCATTTAACCACGAGTTGCAGTTCACTGCAGGGTTTGTTAATGGAAGTGCATTTATAACAGAACTAAAATACATTTTAAAAAATAGTAATTATCAAGCAACTACTTTCATATTTTACAGAACTTGAATATTTTAATATAATTTCCTTTGAAACCCCAAGGAATCACAATGATGTTTTTTTAAAAAAACCTAGCAGTTTAAGACATCTCATGTTGAATCAAGTTCTTAAAGCTAGGATGTTGGAAGCTAAGTGTGATATCTTAACAGTCCTGCCCCATAATCGCTAATAATGTGCAGTATTACAAATTGTGCTTACAACTTACAGTTAATGCGCCCACACTTTCCCTTGCTCTTTCAGGCCCAAATTCAAATAAGGAAGATGAAGCACCTATGTTGCCCTCATCCTGCTTTGCCTCATGAAGCACCTGAGCCTCAATCTGTGAGCTGATTTGTGACTATTTGTTGCCTAGACAGTAGCTGGCAGGGTGGATTAAACAGTGGGAAGGGGTCTTCTAGCATTGTTCACTATCCTTATGATGATTCACCATATAGGAGGTTGTGTTTGGCACTGAATGACATAAGAGTTCAAAATTTATTCTGAATTTGGAATTGCAACATGATGCATGAGAGAAAAATAATTGCAGCAGACATCGGGTTGCTTTGGAACCTGAGATGATCGGGGGCAGTGATATGGATGGGTAAAGCATTACTTTGCTTCAAACTGCCCCCTACTAATGTCATTTCACAACAGAAAATATGTATGGGTCAAGATTTGTGAACTTAATAAGGTAACCAGATATTCTATGTAAGTCCTCTGAGAACCTTTTAGAAGGGGAGATCTGTTGACCTATACATGCACTGAAATATAAATAATCAATCCACCCATTCCTCCTCAAAATCAGCACACTTATCACCTCTATACTGCCATGGTGCAGCTTTCTTGGTCCCTGTGGTCAATCAGCTGGATTGCTTACCAAACATGCTTTCATGTTTCATTACTGGTATTGTCGTCCAGTATAGCTACACATATCACACCCCAAGCAGCAATGGTACTACTCACATGTAATGCATCAGACAAGACCCTACCCCACTGTTTAACCCAAGTGTGGGAAAACTTTGGCCTTCCAGATGTTGTTGAACTACAACTCCTATCATCCCTTGGCCATTGGCCATGTTTTCTGGAGCTTTGAAGTTGTAGTCCAGCAACATCTGGTGATCTAAAGATTCTTCACAACTGGCTTAGCCCATCCTGCCAGTTACTGACATAAGCAACAAGTGTTTATACTCCACCTTTTTTGGTGTAGTTCGAGGTATTTACCCCTTTTATCCTTAAAACAACTGAGAGGAGGAAATCATCCAGTGTCTCACCCAGTTATCCGGTGTGCTTTGTGCCCAAGCAGGAATTTTAATACAGCTCCAAATCCAACACAAACCAGTTTATCATAGTGGCTCTAAGCATGCTTTAACTACCCGACACATTCACAATTTGCTTCCTTTGTTGTGTTGGTGGAGTATAAACACCTGCTTGTGTTGGTGGAGTATAAACACCTGTTTGACTAGGCTTGCAAAGTTTTATCTCCACAACTGCACAAAACAACACAGTAAGACCTTAATCCTGTGCCCTTTGTACAAAATCACTACATGTAATTCACAGTAACTGCCTTGGATTAACAACTTGCCTGATTCTGTACACATAAATAACATGGATTGGAGTTCCTACATAATGCATACTAATTGAAAGCATGGGGAGTATCCTCTGCTCACTCTTTTTGACCTCCCTATTTTTTAGTGTGATATGGTTTTTAGAGAGTAACTAATCCTATCTAAATGATCCTGAATATGAACCTTTGTATTTCTTCACCTAATTCCTTCTGAAGATCAGAAGGATCTTCTGTCCCTGTACTGAATCTGGCCCTCCACTTTCCATCCCTAGAGGCAAGAAAAGGGTGTGAATGTGAAGCATCTTCAGCAGTGGGCCTTGACATCCATCAGGAGTCTGATCTGCCATACAGTGGTACCTCATGTTACGTACTGTCTCCTTTGCAAACACTTCGGGTTACGTGCTCTGCTAACCCGGAAGTAGGTCTCCTTGTTGCGAACTTTGCCCCGGGATGCGAGCGGAAGTTGCACTTCAGCAGTGCGCGCTCAGCGGGAAGCACCATTAGCCTCATGTTACGAGCTGTTTCCTGTTACGAATGGACCTCTGGAACCAATTAAGTTTGTAACCAGAGGTACCACTGTACTCCCTTGTCAAAACAAGCTGGTGACAAGAGCAGTAAACATTCCTCCACCTACCTAATAGTTTGCCTGTCTTTCCTCATGGATTCTTCAGTGTTTAGTTTTGATCTGGGTATTCCAGAGAACAAAGGCAATCAAAATGAATTTAGTGATCTATAATATGAAAAGTAAGGGAAGCGCATGAAAGAGTACATCCCCTTAAGTCTGTTCCCATGAAATTTCTCCTGGGAATACTGGAGGAAGGTTTGAGAACACTGATTAATGTAGATTTAGGCCTGATACTCAGCCCTGGTGCGGCAGTTAGGCTGGTAGCTTTGCTTTATATAAGCATCTTCCTCCCACTTTTTAATTGGCTATTTAAAAGGTAACTCATACTTTTAAAAGCAACTTGTATTTATTGAACACCCTACATCTTTTTTCCCTCCCCAGGTGAGTATGGATGGTGTATAAGATCAGAATTCAAGAGATTCTGCTTAAGGGTCAATACCCAGCTCTCTCCCCCTGAGCTTTCTCTATAAAAAGCAGCCTCTGGAGGAGTGTCAAGGTTGCATCACTGCAGAAGAAGGACTTAACCTTATCCCATGCTGTTTTCCTCATCTAAAGGTAGCCAGTGGGGCAAATAGCAGCTTTGAATAGGGCTGTTTACATCAATCCAAATCAGTTACTTTTAAGAAAAGATAGAAACATCCTCTCATCAAGTATGGCCTCTTAAAGTACTCTGTCTAAGAAGTACGGGCTTTGTGTGCTGCTTTTTTTACAGGAAACTTTTAAAGACATTGGCATTATCTAAGTATGTTAATGAATTAATTTACTTTTTCATACACACTTAGTTAACATTAAGGAACCTAAAATGTGGGCAGGTCCACCAGGCTATATTGGTCCACTTCCCTTTTTTCCTTTTGGCCCAAAGGACTTCAATAGTCTTAATTTCTTTGTGCACATGAGCAAAACTAATTTCCCCAGAACTGTGCTTAAGCTTCCCCTTTTCAGCAATTGTAGTAAAATCATCTCAATAAAACTAACAGCTTGTATTAATTCCTGCTCCCACCTGAACAATTTAACCTTATTAAGAACAGCAATTCCTCTTAATTGACCAAAATAAAATTGGTGCATATTCACCAGTCCACTTCTGTCTCCTAATTTTTCTAATTCAGACACTTGTTCACATAAAACAGTAAGGCTCCGTATAATTTATGCACCTGAAAAAGTCCAAATCCTCTTGTATTGGACAATCTTTCACTAAACAATAATAGGTGAGCACTCTGGACTGAGTTTCTGTCATTCCTATCACATTATTATTCATGTGTATGATATCTTTAAAAACTAATAAGCCTTAGATATAGATATGATTTTGGAAAATGACAAATACTGAATAGAAAAGATGATTTGATGGTAGCTGAATAGCTGAAAGTGGACATTTTTGTTTCCTAGTATTGTGACTTCACTGAAGCAGCAATAGCAGCTCAACTCTCTTCCAGTCCCCTCCTTCCTACTCAATCCCCCTTTAAGCATCTCATTCACCGTATGGTGTAGCTTTTTAACACTACCCCCAGCTGAGTATAACACTTCATGAATAATAGCATTAGGAAGCAAGACTACAAAGTACTGCAAATACAAGAACAGTTACATCTACAGTGATACAAAGCTTTAAACTATTCTTTTTGCTCTGAAATAAAAAAGTAGACTTTTGTGTAGGGAAAGACAAACGACACCACCAAAAAAACCCCACACAGCATTTTATTCAATTTCCTATAGTTCTGTCAAGAAATAATATTTGGTTTTGCTATATAGCCATCACCATGATAATGTTTATTGAGGTTAGAGGATGGATTTCAAAAATTAATCATATCTGAGCTTGCACATATTTTGAGTAGAAATATAATTTAAAGTGATGTCTCTTAAAGATTTTTACAACAACAGCATTTATATCCAATATCTAAGCATATATAGCTTAGATTTCTATTTAGTGAAAATTAGTATGCAGGTAATGTTCTGAAACCATAAGTACCACATTTGTCTCAAATGTCCATTTTATTGTGCATTCATGATGATTTGTGCTCATGATGATATCAGGGTGGTCACACGTGATCCTGCTTTCGATACTGTTTGTGCTTGCAAAGGTTTTGGGGTAGTCACACTGCTTCATTTCTAAACAGTGCATATCTCATCACTTCCTGCTGAAATCCTGTAACTTGTTATCCCACAAATGTTCTGGTTTATTTTTTACCTGTTTTTGGTGCAATAATGTGGAAGCATTGGGGAAGCATTGCAGAACAAGTAATTAAGCAGAATAAACCCACTACTGGTGCACTATGACCATGTCAAGAATAGGCGTGCAACACTGGTGTCAGAAGTGGGGTTTCCTGGAGGAAGGGCCTGTGTGTAAGGTGCACCTGTATAGGAGGAGAAATAGCTACAGACCTTGAGCAGCTTGAGAGAATAGAACAACATCAGAACAAGCAGTTTGAGCAGATGCTCTAGCAGCAGCAGTGGTGACAGATGGAGCAGCAGAACCAGTTGTTTGATATAATAGAGCCACGACTAGTAGAGTGGTAGGGAAGTCTCCATGGAGTGGAAAGTGTGACTCCAAGCAACGTGCGAGCGTGCCTGATGTGATGCTACAGGGGGTTAAAAGTGACCCAGGAGCACTGCTGTATGGCATCCAGAGGGAAGGGGTGGCCAAAGAGATCCAGAGCATGGATGGGCAGCTATGAGGCTTGGACTCCAAAGGGCTGCAGTCAGTAGCTGAAGGCAAGGGAGAAGACAATGCTTCCGAGAAGGGTGCACTGCCTGAAGCCAAGGAAATGCTGATTAATTTCTCTACTCCTTGGGAGCCTGCTGTGGAAAAGGAGCAGGAGGGATTGGGGGTGCCTGTAAGTGTGCAGTGGCTGTTAATTGATTTCTTCACCCCTGTGTGCTTTCTGTGGAAGAGAGGAAGCAGGAAGAATCAGTGCCTGTGGAGATGCCAGAAGATGATGTGTGTGAGAGAGAGAGAGGAAGAGGAAAGTAAATTAAGCAAGGCCATTAGGAAGACTACAGAGGATCAAAGGGACACTTTGCGAAAAAGCAAATGGGTGAAGCCCCTCAAGAGCTTAGAGTTGAGAGGAGTTACGTGTCGGGAAAGCAAAAAGGCAGAAGGCAGGGCATGATGGCTAATGTCTATTTGAAAGAGGCAAGACCCTCTTGGACTGTAATGTAAGGAACCCCTCTATCATATGCTCTGGTTGTTAATATGTATAAATAAACCATATATCTAAAGACGCCACAGTCTTGTGTGCCTCATTTTCCAAAAGAAACAGACCCTGGGTAAGCATGTCTAGAACTCCCTGGAATCTTGCTCCACTCAGAGATTGAGGGTGGTATGCAACAATATTCTCCTGTAAATGTTTGTGTTCATTACAGCTTATGGCTGAAACCAATTAAGTGAACTTGGCTGTATCTTGGTGTTAGGTATTGGTGGGGGCAAGGGAGACAGGTGATTGTTTAATAATAAAAAGAACAGTTATTAATAACTGAAGTTTACTTAATTCTAACTGAAATATGCAGAGCTTTTACAGTTCAAAATATGGCAGATATTAATATATTTTATTGTACTATTTAGTATTCATATTTTTCCTTTCTTCTGTAAACTGTGTCCAGAGGACAGAATAATTGTGTCCTAAATCTTCTCTTGCTTTTAGAAACATTTCCCTCCCTTAACTGGATTTCACTTTTACATAACTGAAAACATTCACTGAAGGGCACAGTTCAAGTTTGATTTCTTTTCAGAAAATTGCAGAAGTTGACCCTTCTGGTCCCAAGACCTTTCCTAATGGTAGATGTCTTTCCTTCATTACCACTTTCCTTAATGAAGCATTAGAAAGGATCAGCTAAGTCAGAAAATTGTATGGACTCTACTGTCAGGCTGTAGAAGAGAAATGGAAGCTTAATTGAAGAAGAAATACATTTCAAATTGACCTGCAATCCAATCCTATCCTCTGGATGAAGATAAGATTACCACTACTCAGTCCCTTACACTAGTGTAATTTAGAGTTATACTGGTTTAAGGGTATTTTTATGCCCTTGTAACCATAAACCAGAGTAGGTGCTACATTCCCTCACCTCACAAGGTTGTTGTAAGGATAAAATGAGGAGGGAAGAACCTTGTACACCATCTTGAGCTCCTTGGAGGAAAGATGAAATATAAATGTAAGAAATAAATAAAAATATTGTTAACCTGCCAAGGAAAAGAAACTGGCAGTGCTAGGGAGGATTGGAAGAGTAGCCAGCTTAGCAGGGTCTTTTCCTCCACCAAGTTTTAAACCCACCTCTCTGTGCTGGCATAAAGTTACGACAGTACAACAACTGTCATAACTAAATATTCACCCACTGGAGTTAATAGGCTAATTTCATTTCCATGCTTTTCCTTTTTCCCTCCCCAAGTCACAGCAGGATCCATGCAGACTAGATTTACTCATTCCTGTCATATTGTAAATCTGTGTTCACAGGCCTCTCTTCGTGGAGAGGAAAATGAGATACCTTCCCCAGTTAAATATTCATTGAAAATCCAGTTTGAACATGCTACTATTGGAATTTTTTTAAAGAATCAGCAGCGTGCACTGTTCCTGTTAAGACAGAAGATAGTGTATCCCTGCAGCTACATTCACTTCAAGTTGCTGGGGGAAAGAAATACTTGGTAGCTCTCCAGAAGTATTTTTGCACCTTGCCAAATGGAGCTGTTGAAGAATTCAAGCTAGCAATCTCTTAAACTAAATGAAATTAGACTTTAATGTTGGGCATTGCTTTTCAGTCAAATACATTTGAAAGGGATTCTTTAGTGAGGGATAATAAAAAAGTGTTATTAGCTAGCAGCTGAACATTTGTTCTGAATATTATTGAGCCCTAGATTCTCTCTAAGCATCTTGGGATACGTGAAAATCAGTTTGTAATCCCACCCCCTTTTTTTAAGCACAACAGATTTATCTGTGTCATTAAATGCTCTTAGAACAATGTCTTGCTAAATGACAGTGCAAGAAAAGCAACTTTATAACAACTTTTTTCTTTCTCCTTCCCAATCCTTTGTTGTGAAGGACTTTGGCAGGAACTGTCCTACTATTCATCTTTATAAGTCACTTTGGGAGCCCTTTTAGCTGAAGAGCAGGTTAAAATCCTTCAAATAAATAAATAGAACTGATTTTTGGGTCTTGCCAAATAACAAAACATAAAATACAAGATGAGGTTAACTTACATTGTAGAGAAGACTTGTATTATAAGATTAATGAGGGCTCTATTCTTACATTGCTATCTCAAAATGTATAATGTTGACACAAAACTGCTGTCATCTCACTACTGACCCATCTAGTCCGTTATGGTGTATTCTAGCTCTCCACAGTAGAAGAGCTTCCCAAAAAGAAGGTACAAGGATTTGACCCCAGCACCTTCTACATGTGAAGATACATATGTTCTACCATTCAGCTGTTTCCCATGCCAGTCTATAAGCCAGTACTTTGAAAGCAGAAAAAAAGCTGCTGCAGATTTTAGTATGCAAAGCAGTGCCCATTTGTACAAACATATCAAGTCAGTAGTGATCACCTTTCAAATATGTATGCCCACTGGATCCTGGGAACCTCATAAAAATGGTACATTTCTGTCCTTCATGATTGGTGAGGTATATTTTTGAAAGCTTCAGGGAAGATGCCTAAATCCACCGAGTAATCAGAAGCAGGCTTCTATGTGGGGCCTGTTGACTTTGTCCATGGAGTTTTCTTGGCAGGGATACTGGAGTGGTTTGCCAGTTCCTGCTTATTTAACTTATATGCAGAATTCATCATGTGAAAGGCTGGGCTGGATGAATCCCAAGCTGGAATTAAGATTGCTGGAAGAAATATCAACAACCTCAGATATGCAGATGACACAACCTTGATGGCAGAAAGTGAGGAGGAATTAAAGAACCTTTTTAATGAGGGTGAAAGAGGAGAGCGCAAAATATGGTCTGAAGCTCAACATCAAAAAAACTAAGATCACGGGCACTGGTCCCATTACCTCCTGGCAAATAGAAGGGGAAGAAATGGAGGCAGTGAGAGATTTTACTTTCTTGGGCTCCATGATCACTGCAGAGGGTGACAGCAGTCACAAAATTAAAAGACACCTGCTTCTTGGGAGAAAAGCAATGACAAACCTAGACAGCATCTTAAAAAGCAGAGACATCACCTTGCCAACAAAGGCCCGCATAGTTAAAGCTTTGGTTTTCCCAGTAGTGATGTATAGAAGTGAGAGCTGGACCGTAAAGAAGGCTGATTGCCGAAGAATTGATGCTTTTGAAATACGGTGCTGAAGGAGACTCTTGAGAGTCCCATGGACTGCAAGAAGATCAAACCTATCCATTATGAAGGAAATCAGCCCTGAGTGCTCACTGGAAGGACAGATCCTGAAGCTGAGGCTCCAATACTTTGACCACCTCATGAGAAGAGAAGACTCCCTGAAAAAGACCCTGATGTTGGGAAAGATTGAGGGCACAAGGAGAAGGGAACGACAGAGGGCGAGATGGTTGGACAGTGTTCTCGAAGCTACGAACATGAGTTTGACCGAGCTGTGGGAGGCAGTGGAAGACAGGAGTGCTTGGCTTGCTCTGGTCCACGGGGTCACGAAGAGTCGGACACAACTAAAGGACTAAACAACAACAAAATGTGTGGCGTGTCCTTCAGACTGGGTCTCGTGCTCATGAGTGTGCTGTGCACAATTAAAGGTAAAGGTAAAGGTACCCCTGCCCGTTCGGGCCAGTCTTGCCAGACTCTAGGGTTGTGCGTTCATCTCACTCTGCATCTGGCGAGCCAGCGCAGCACATGGAACGGCGTTCACCTTCCCGCTGGTAAGCGGTCCCTATTTATCTACTTGCACCTGGAGGTGCTTTCGAACTGCTAGGTTGGCAGGCGCTGGGACCGAACGACGGGAGCGCACCCCGCCGCGGGGATTCGAACCGCCGACCATGCGGTCGGCAAGTCCTAGGCGCTGAGGTTTTACCCACAGCGCCACCCGCGTCCCCCTGTGCACAATTAAATGCATCCAAATCCTTAACTATACTTCACTATACAGAGAAGGTTGTTTGCAATGCCACTAGCTTTGCAAAGCTGCTATCTGTTTGGAGATCAGCAGTGATGAGCCTTGTCAAAGCAGCAGCAGCAGTCTTATCTGTGTGCCTCAATATCCAGGACCCAGAGTTTCTGTGTTCCATATGGATCAAGGGCTACTTTTTAGACTTGGTCACTTGTATCCCAGTCATTTGTTCCTACTGCCCAGCACATACTCATACCACTTTGCACAAAAACAAAAAGTATGCTACTATTTCAAATGACTGCAGAAGTCTTAGTCTTATAATACAAGTCTTCTCTACAATGTAAGGTAACCTCATCTTGTATTTTATGTTTTGTTATTTGGGACAAATCATGGAACTAGAGAATGCACACCAAAATTAATCAAAATGTGCACATTAAATTGCATTAATTATGTGAGTGCAGTGTTTGTTTCTGTGCTCTATCTTGAGCTCACTTGGAAAAGAGTTTTTTCAACATGATTAAGCAAATTCAACTGCCAGTACACCACATCTCTTATAAAATCTATCCTGTGTGACATTGTCTTTGTAATCATAATTGTTAACAGTCCTTATATCTTTATAATTCTTAAATGTTGCAAGTCCTACCATACATACACACCTTCATTTGAAGAGAGAAAGAATCCCCAATAATCATATAGAAAGAGGCATAGCAATTTTACCACAAAAGCCACACCGATAGTCAAGAAATAGAAGGGGGAGAGAAGAATATACCTGTCCTTAGGGCAAAGTGGATGTTGGATTCCTTGAGGGCACTCAGTAGAATTCTCGTTGGAGCTTTGAGAGCTAGCTAAACTTTTAAAATCTAGGGCTTTCAAACCCAATTTCAGCCAGCACATTCTAATGGAGAAGGGAGGGGCCTTTGGGATGAGCAATTCCTATAATTTCCATAACTTTATTGTCCTATTTAATTTTATTCCAGAGGTTTGTGCTTGCTTCCCACTTTACCCATCTTGCTTAATTAACAGGTGGAAGAAGGATAGCAAAACTGGTCATCCTTGTCTGCTTCCAGTCTCAAAGTTACCCCAACATTATTTTGATGGCAATCCAGTCAGGTGTTAAATAGATTTTAATGGTAGCTAGACTTACATGTGCTGATCCTTATACAAGGTGTGACGAGATCAGAACATTTCCTGAATGCCTCTCAGGACATTTGTTTTTAAAGATCAGA